ATTGTCCGCTATGTTCAGCTAGTCCGGATTTATCCCATGCTTTTTCAGACCTAGGCCAGCTGGCCTTGGTGAGATCCCAATAGAACATCCCCATTGTCTTAGTGTGTGGGTGCACCCCTCGTGGTCCTGAGTTCCTTGCTCGTGCTCCGTCTCCTTCTGCTCCTGATTTGGACCTTGAGATTTCTGTCCGGGGCTCCCGTGTGGGTCTCTGTCTCTGTTTAGTCATCTTATAGCTGGGCATGATAGTGAATGCCTACAATCTCAGCTATAATCAGGATGCTAAGGTAGGAGAATTGATCAGGATTTCAAAGTCAGACTAAACTACAATGTAACCTACAGACATTTGAGGATTCTTTAGGGCAAAAAAAAAAAAATTGCATGAAAAGATCTCAGGCACCAAACACAGAAGGGACATGACAGTCAAAAATCCCCTCTTTCTCAAAGACGAGGAAAAAGAAGCAATGGACATGGTAGGAATGTTTTCTTACTTAATATTAGTCAAGTGGAATAAAATGTAGAAAACATGCATGGCCTATTATAAATAACATAAAAAATGCCAGTTAGACTGGAGAGTTGAGCCAAACAAGCCTTTAATCAATTTCTGTCACTTCAGTGAGTTTATTTATCTTCAGTATTTCCTGAAATGTCACACACTATCTATCCTTGTGTTAATTATGTCTTGCTGCCTAATTAAAAAAACTTACAATCCTTGCTTTGAAGACCAAGGCAAGAAGGGGAACATGTCCTCTAATCCCCTAGGGCATGTGAATATCACATTTGCCAATGGATATTTCTGGAGTCTTTGCTTTCCAGTTATGTACACTGTTATCAAAGCAGCATTCATGGATTGCCAGACACCAAATAAATCTTGTTGATGATGAATGTCAAATACAATCACAGGATTTTCTTCCAAGCTTTTCTCCTTTTAAACAATCATGGGAAATTGTAGAGAGGTAACAAAATAGTATGTAAGTGATAATCCTAATAATGTGTCAAATTAAAGCTGTATTTGCCGTACCATAAATACACAGGCATGAAAGATGAGAAAAACACCAAACTGTTAACAGTATTTAGCTCTTGGAGTAGGACTGGGTAGATAATCCATATTATTTCTTATACTTTTCTATGTTTCCCTGATTTTGCATTGCTACCACTCAAACTTTCCAAAATTCACCTGTGTGTTGATATGGCTGGGATGGAAAAACTTGCTTCATGTCTCATATTCAGAAGCAAATAAAGTGCTTGATAACTGTCCATGACAACTGTCCAAAGTCCCCAGAAGCCATTCAGTACTGAGACATGGGAACAGCATGGCTCCCATGACTCCCTGGGATGCACAAGCAGTCACTGACATAGTCCTTATCAAGCCTGGCCTTAGTAGGGAGAGCCTTTAAATGGTGAGTTTCTCATTATCTCTCACCCACTCTGTCCTGCTAGCTAGAGCAAGTATCCCTTTATTCTTTTTTACCTCACTAACCTTTCCTCATCCTCTGGTCCCAGGTTTAATGTTACTTGGTCTAGAAACATTCCTTCATCTTCTTGGCATGGTTCAATGCTCCTTTTCTGGATCCAACAGACCTTGATATGAAGTTATTTTAACAACCCCCACCAAACTAATCTATAAATTCTCTCCGATAATGCAGTACTACTCCTTACTCCTCTTGCTTCTACAAGGTATCGAAGCGATGCTAGTTCAGAAACAAAGAATACTACCCAGGGCTCTTACTTACTAAAGAGAAAATCTCTAGCTGTCATCACTGCTCTTGACACAGAGTGTTAAACTGGTAGTTTGTTTATTGTGGGGACTAAACCCAGGGTCTCTTGTGTGCTTTGTAGACATTTGAAACAAGATCAAATCAATTCAATAAAGTTATTTTGTATCTCTCCCCTTTTCTTTATCTCTTAAATGAGGAAACGATAAATGAGAAGCGGGGTTTTTGTATTAAAATTCCTTCTTGGAAGAATGTCCCTACCACTTTCTAGGAATCTATTTCTGTCTTGTCTCTCTCCCTAAAATTGAAGAGACATTTCCAATGTTTTGGTTCCTTCTTTTGCTTTTATGTTACTTGAGAAGAAAATGTTGGGCTTCAGAGTTCATAAAAAACCCTCAGTTTTTTGACCTGCTACCAACTTTCTTCCTCTGAGACATGAGTAGATGACCTCTCCTGCTTAGTGGTAACAAAATAATAGAGTTCACTGGCTTAACTTGCCTCTTTCCTATGCTGTGTTCTTATACCTGTGAGTATTGTGAAGAAAGGTAAAACTGGATTTTTTTATGCTCAGGTCTTCCATTTTCAGCCCATAAAATGTTACACCTCTTAGCAATATCAAATACCAATCCCGAACAGCTTAGCTGTAGACTATGGTCTCAGGACAGAACTTACATCCTATCTTGTGAAGTATCTGATTTCTGTAATGTATTGTATTTGTGGTTTTCTCTTGTGTTACTGCACCTGCTGCCTTTTGAGGAAGGACAGTAAAATGTTTGCTTTACTCAGGGGAAGATTTCAGAGTTCACCTAATATCATCCTGAGCTTTTGAGTAAACTAGAGAAAGAGAACAGAAATTGCCTTCTTACTTGTGCTGCTGTTTCCTTCCCTTCTCTTCCTTGTTCTTTGTCTCTTCCTTCCGTTCTGTTTCTCTTTCTGTGTGTTTACATAACAAGCATTTGGGAGAGTTAGTAAAGAAGTAGACCCATCCATTACTCAGATGGGATACCTATGGCGCATGTATGTAACATGAGCTTACAGGAGAAATTTAACAAGATGATGTTTCTGGCCCTGTTGACTGCCAGGATCTGTAATTATCAGAATAACATAACGAGGTATCACTCTTTAGTCCATTCCAGCTTATTGGCTTAATAACTACCCAAAAAAGTGTTGTGTGTCCTATGGAGTGCTACATGTCCAAATATGGTACCTATTATGTAATATGTAAACATGTCCAGATATTACACTATAGTATTAGGTTAATAGCATTCTTTTTTTTCAACTTATTTCCATCCTAAAAGCTTACACTCAGTCTTTGTAATTAAGGAAGACAATTAACTAAGCTTAAGCTCAGTTTAGTTTAAGAAACCTTTCATCTCCGCATTCATCCTGGGCATCAGTTCCTTCTTGGCCTTATTCGTTCCTCCTAGTATAATTTCCTTCGATGAGAAAGATGGAACTCAAAAGGGGCTATGGATATATATGGTCTTTTCCCTGTCAATGATCTTCTTCATTTGTTTTCTTTAACTTGTTTGGCTTTGTTGTTTTTCTAATGAGCTAAATATGAGGGTAGGGGGTATAGCTCAGTGGTAGAGCACTTACTAAGTATGCATGAAGTCATAAGTCTGATCCCCAGCACCATAAAAATAAAAATTCATTCATGACTTTTTTCCAGCACATCATTCTATCATGTTATACATGACTTGCATTAGTATTTTTCTTCCATCTTTTTATATTCATATTTCTTTCCTTGTTATTACAACTGTTCTTCCCAGTTGTTTGACATTTATTACATTAATTGAACAACCTTTATACACAATTATTTATTTTGCTGACTATAGAAGAATTCTAGGTCTCAAAACTTTGAGTCTCACATTTTCTGGAAATCATTAAAAATCATCCTTTAAAAATATCAAAAGAAAAACCCGTTTAAGAAAAGGAACAATTAGATTCTGATATTAAACCAGCAAACCCAGATCTGTGATAAGGGTAATACCACCTATTTCCTCCATACTTGAAATCACTGCGGGAAACTTGTCGAAAGCTTGGCACAAATGTGTGGCCTTTGTGAAATGTCAATAACCTCCAGATAATATAGCAGGGACAAGCAATCCCAGACACTGCCTAAGGGCAGACTGTAAGCAACGAAGTCATACTGCTAGCTGGAGAGGCTGCTCGCTTTCACTGCAGTTTTCCCCTCTTCAATTTCCCTTTGGTCAGAGCAAAGCCTGTTTCTACCAAGGACCTCACAGCTATAAGCTTGTGCCAAATAGCATAGCTAGTTCCCAAAGCTGTTTCTCAGCAGCTGGCAGGGATGGAGATTAATGATATCCACAGAACTCACAAAGCTGATTTGATCCTACACCCCCTCCTCCACACACACTATGGATGTGATTTAAATGGTGCTTCATTTGGACTTCTACAGAAAGAAAATACCCAGAGATACACACAGAGAGAAGCATTAGACATTCAGAATATCACTCCATAATGTTTTAATGGAAGTAACATTTTAAGTCTTGGGCTTCAAATGTGTGTACGTATGTTTCAAAATAAGGGCACTTGCTTATTATGCATGATGTCATGAGTTTTATCCCCAGTACCACAAAAATAAAATAAAAATAGAATAAATTAATGAAATGATGAAGTGCTTTAGTATTGACTAAGATAAAACCACTTTAAATATATTCCCAAACGACACTTTACAGTTTTCTTCATGGCCTGTTTGACCTGTGTCAGGGATACAGGTACTGCAAGTTTCTGGAAAAGCACCACAAAGGTAGCGTATGAGCTGCAGTCAAGGCCAAGGCATTGCTATGGGAATCTCTTGCCCTGGGATACTAATTAACTCTAAATATTGCATATAATTTCAGCCAGAAGCTAGTGAAAGAAGCAGCTCATAGAAGATAGAAAAATTAAAGAAGTTCAAAATAAAAATATTATCTTCTGATTATAGCCAATGGGACCAAAAGCATGGCAGAAACTTCCTCTCCTCAATCTGCCTTCTGTTCTTTTTTCTAGTAGCTTCTCTCATTTATCTTTTCTTTTATTTTGTCTTCCTTAGGGTGGAAAGTGTCCTTTCCCAGAGTCCTGCTTTCCTTCATCTTTTAGTTTCATGGCAAAAATATTTAACATGAGACCTACTATCTTAACAAGATTTTGTGTGAAAACACAGCATTGAAGTGTAGGCGCTATGTCGTACAACATTGCATTATTGCCTATAGGTGCTATGTTGTACAATATTACATTATTGCCTATAGGTGCTATGTTGTACAATATTACATTATTGCCTATAGGTGCTATGTTGTACAATATTACATTATTGCCTATAGGTGCTATGTTGTACAATATTACATTATTGCCTATAGGTGCTATGTTGTACAATATTACATTATTGCCTATAGGTGCTATGTTGTACAATATTGCATTATTGCCTATAGGTGCTATAGTGTACGATATTGCATTATTGCATGTAGGTGCTATAGTGTAAATATTGCATTATTTCCTATAAGTGCTATAGTATACAGTATTGCATTATGGCCTATAGGTGCTATGCTGTACAATATTGCATCATTGTCCATAGGTGCTACAGTGTACACTATTGCATTATTGCCTATAGGTGCTATGCTGTACAATATCGCATTATTGCCTATAAGAGATTTGTTGTACAATATTGCATTATTACCTGTAGGTGCTACACTGCACAACTGATGTCTAGAACCTATTCAGCTTCATAATCAAAACTTAATACCACTAACCAACACCTCCTCATACCTCCCTCTGCTCCCTTTCCTGATCCTTGGCAACCATCATTCACACGGGTTTCTGAACATGACCACTTAGATGGTTCATGGCCTTTAGAGTCATGCAGCACTTCTTATGGGTCTGGTTTATTTCACTCAGCAGACAGTCCTCCCACATCTGTGTCAGAGGACCAGGACTTTTTCTCTTGTTTTTAGCACTGAGGAATAGACTAATGTGTAGCACATTTCTTTATACAGAGAGTGAAGTAGGTTTGTACAGAAATATGCTGTGGTCTATAGAAACCCCTTTTCTATGCGTGTTCACGTGTGCTGACGGGATGTAGACATCGCTGCTAGAGGACACAGTCACGCACATGTCATCCTCACTGTGAACGTGTGACTGTTACTCATGGCCTTTATATACAGCAGTTTGAAGAGGCAGCCCTGAGCTAATCTAAAGCTACAGGTTGAGCAGCTCTAGGCATGACTGACCATCCATATCGCCCATGTGTCCTTGAATTAGAAGAACCGATTGTTAGTTTGCCATATACATCTTGTCAAGAATGCAGGTACAATGTCCCCTCGCGCTCGCCGGCTTGAAGCCTGAGGAGCACAGCAAGAGTCTGCTCTTAGAAAGCACCACTTATTCGGAAGCAGGACAGCTCTCCCAGGGAGACTGACTCACCGTGAAAGTCATCACTTATGTTCTTGGTCTACTTTAAAAAACTCTGACTTCAACCCCATTTAGGAACTCTAGTTTTTGTTTGTCTCCATCGAGCTTTTCATTTCCCTTATCAGTTTTACACAGTTGCTTTCTTGATCAAAAGAGTTAAACTTAGTGTGTGTGTGTGTGTGTGTGTGTGTGTGAGAGAGAGAGAGAGAGAGAGAGAGAGAGAGCGCTAACCATCATTCAAAAATGGGTTCCATTTCCCTTTTCGTTCTCTAGAAATGATACATAAATCCATGTGGGATGGAAGAACCTGTGGGAAAAATTCATTCGTATCTTTCAAAGCATGAGGGAAAGGGCAAAGAAATGAAAATACAGCACATAGTTTGGGCTTAAGGTGGTCCTCATGCTGAGTCCGCAGATGTAACTGATGATTAATTCTTTCTCTCCTCTGCTTACGTTCCATCTTCAGTAGAATGGAAAAAATATATGCTCTTTCCCACCCAGAAGCTACAAGGAGTAATCAAATAGACCCTGTTTGAGTAGAATAGGCTTTAATGTCTATGAACAAATTCTCCATGGTAACAGCACTACTGGTAACCTTTATCTATCCTTGGAACTGACCCAAGCCATACTGCTCAATGCAATGCACTAAAATCCCCAAATACCCAGATTCAAACATTGTGTTTGAATGCGTTATTTGGTGTAGAAGAGGGAATTGCATTCCAAGGAAAACGAGAAAGGATCTAATAGCTCATCATCCCACATGCGTGACAGAGAGAGTTTATTTACATATGAGGACTCTGGGTCACCTTCTACCAAAGAATGCCTGCCTTTTCTAGTAAAGCCAAAGAAGACCACTGGTGGCCCACTCCTTCCTTAGCGAGGTCGTAGACGTGAAAAGTGATCCTCTGACTTACACAGTAATGCCACATGAATACAGAACCAAGGAGCAGGAACAAACACTCTGGAAGGCCACACATCCTTATCTTCATGTCATCCTTTTTTTTCCTTCTCAGTTAATTTCAGTAATATACCAATGGGATATTTTTTTATGATTAGCAAACAAGAATCTTCCATCACACCCATTGGACTAACAGTAGTTAAGAAAGCAAGCGTAAATTAAGGCTAAGGGCTCTTTAGTGTACAATTTTTACTGCATTTTTTCTTACTAACAGTGAGACTAAGAGACGAAAAGATAAAAACTGAGACTGAAAGGTTTAAAAAATACAAGGTATTTACTTTACCTAACCCAGCTACTCCTACTGAACATGTGTGCTCTGTGCTTCTGAACTGCAGCCCTTGGTGATGGCAGACACTGCAGAATAACTGAACACTGCATGCTACATTTCGTGTACAGGGCGTCTTTACTGCTCAGCACAAGAAAAATCTACTCCCCAGCAGAGACGAAGGCTGGGTCAGAGGCCCAGTAGCAGCAAGGTGGTGAGATATCGTTGCCATTTATTTATTTTCTTTTTTCTTTTTGCCCTCAAATAAAAAATGAAACAATGATGTCACTGCATTAAACCCAAGTCCAATTCAGAATTCATCTTCCGAGCTGTCCGCTAGCAGCATCACTCTGTCTTGCATGCTGTTGAATTCTTTCTGCTGGGAGAAGAAGACAGGAAAGCATCAGATTCTTTCTCTGCAAAGCCAAGGAGCAGACCCACTCTAAAGAGTGGGGAGCAGATAATACAAAACGCCTCAACAGAAGGCTTTCTTGCACCATTAAATCCTCTGTACTTTATCAGGCAAATTAGGCAAGCAGGGAAGAACTCTCCGCAACCGATTAGCTTTGCTTTTGTTTCTTGCATACCTTCCTTTTATGCCTTTTGAAGCCATTTCTTCTTCGGCGATTCATGACCTTAATGCTGTAGAGTGCTCCCAAGATGAACAAGGCTCCAGCTATCCCTACCCCAACAGGCACCAGCATTCCAGACATATAGCCAGCCTGAACAGAGGAGGAGAGAGACAGGTATCAGGATGCTACATGGACCACCGGATTCTGAGTTCCCTGTCCCTGTACATAGCAGCAGGTTTTAAGATGCTTTGAATCCTTCTGTCTGCTATATTATAATTTAAAAGGGAACCTATAACAAAGGTTCTGCTTTGGGGCTTTGGAGGAAGAAAGCAACAGAGAAAAATAACAACCTTTTTTTTTTTTTTGATATTTCAAATCCCTTAGAAGTAAGTTCTGAAATAAATCAGCCAGACCCAGTGGCCCCTCCAGCCACCTGATTATGCACATTTGTCAACATCAATTTTTGATGACAGAAATATAATTTGTACTAAAGATGGATGGAGTGGGCTTCTGAGAATGCCAGGGCTATTAAAATGCAATAAATTAAAAACAGCCTGAGTCGCATGCCAAGGAGTTGAAGTGTCCTCTGGAATACTGTGTTCCTTGGAGGGTAAAGGGGGACGTCTCACTCTCTTGCTCTCCCTTCCACACTGTGGCTCACACTCTTCTCAGCTATATTACAATAAAAAATGAGAGATAAGCGTGCACACGAGTAGAAGGCGAGAGCACCATGAAGAACAAGGAAAGGGGCAGGGATTAAGGCACAGGAATTAAGAGGTGGGTTAGTTGTTGGGCGTTAAGGACAAGGAGCAGGCATATGCATGTGAAGTGGATCTCTGAGTGAAGCAATGTGGCCAATGAACAAGACCAAAACAGAGTGTCCTCAGGCTCAGGGAAGTGATGACCAAAAAGGGCACAAAGATCGCTGCCAGCAACATGGCTACTTCCCAAGGAGCCTCAGGTGTTTCAAGCATACCGAAGGTCACTATGGACACCTCAGTCCTGAGAGAAAAGCATGGTCCCTGCACATCCCAGTGTTCCAGCCAATAGCTCCACCCACTCTTGGAGCAAGGCCCTTGTCCTGAGGTAGATCTTTGCAGTAAAGCTCCTGTGGGCTGCATGGGTATACACTAGCCCAGAACCTTTTCATGGGAGAGCAATAGGGTGCACCCCAACTGGACAAAATACATCACAGCTTTAACTTTAAAATCTAGAATGAGTAGACAGTCATTTTTATGAGAGAGGATGAGTCTTCCTCTTTTTCATTTTTGATTTGTTTATTTAATTTCTGCCTCTCTGTGTGATGTGTATATGTGTGTCTGAGTGTATGTGCGTCACCAAGAGAGGACGGAAGACATCCATCACACCTAGCACTAGAGTTAGAGATGGTTGTAAGCCACCACATGGGTTATGGAATAGAACCTGGTCCTAAGCAGGAGCAACAAGTGCTCTTAAACCACAGAGTCATCTTCCTAGTTCCGGACTAATTTCTAATCTAGAAAACGATTCAGACAGATGGAGGGGTGGGGAGAGGTTTTCCGAAAGCACCGAGGTCTGTAGGCTGTTCTTCTTCCTCTAACCCTGCATGTGGAGCAGTAGAGATGGCTTCACAGAGCCTCACAGGGCCACACAGGGCCTCACAGGGCCTCACAGAGCCTCACAGGGCCTCTCACCCTTGTCTATGCTCAGCATCTCCATCACCGCTCTCATATGCCAGTGTTTCAAATTGGGGCAAAATATGAAATTTTTTTTTATTAATTTAAGAACAATGAGATTCCTTTAAATCAAAGTATTGTTTTCAAAGGTGAAACAAATCCCACCCAGGGATTTGTTCATTCTTCAACAAATTCATTCACTTTGTAGAAAAATCAGCTTTTCTAAAATTCTTGCATATCCATTGAGTGTTATAAAAACTCAATCATCTTCCATATAGAGAAATATTGGACAATGCAAACTTTTGGTACTTTCATAAAGAATAGAGAATTTTTAAAATCAATATTTTCAGTGCATTGAAATGTAACACCTATTTAATATGAAGAATAATCAAATTTTAGACCCATTAATGAACTTTTTATAAGTTATGCATTCAGAGAAAAACAATCTATTCTTTGGAATATCAACTTGTCAAACATTGCCTGAACCTTCTGCAGATATATAGTTTAAATCCATACCAACAATGTGGGTATTCAAAATATATCATTCTCTTCATATTTCACACACAAACAAATTTAATTATATCCTTCACTTTTTAAATGGTATCTCTTTACCTTAAAGTTACAAGTAAATTGTAGAATGGGAATGAAGCGGTCAGGCCACCTTCCAATACTATGTAACCACTTGTCCTTTAAAGCTGGCTAAGCCAAAATAACATCTTCCTCAGAGATGCCCATCACTTATATTTTTCAGAAATAAAATAAGAAAGCGTGCACTTATTTTTTTAAGTTTTTAATTTTGCCTAGTAGATTTTCTTCATTTAAAACCACTGGCTGTGCATGTGCATATAGAAATGGTGTCCAGAGCACACAGTTTACCCATGTGTTGTTCAAACCAAGACTGTGCAAAGTGGGTCTAACCATGACAAAACAGCCAGCAAGCCTAAAGTGATGGGTACTCTATGTTATATAAAAATATGTATCTTCATAAATATGTGTACTATGAAAAATGAAAGACAGCTACAAAACGAAGAAAGGAAATGGGAGAAGTATGATAAAGGGATATGTTACATAATTGATGGGATTTTGTTTTAGAGGAGAAATATTTTTGTGAATATCACTTTGGGTCTGTTAAAAAAGTTGCACTGCAGATACCAGGGACCATAAATATACTGTTGCTAAAAACTACAGTCAGATTTGACAACACAATGCTCTTATCCTCAGAAACTATGCACTGAAGAATTTGGAATAAATAAATTATAGTCTGTGCAATTTATCATCAGATGGTTCAGGTAGGAATAAGGAGGAGAATGTCTTCACAAATGAAAACTCCAAGGCGGTAAATGTTAGCAGTTGATGCAACTAGGCTAAAGGTGGGAGGGATGTTCTTGGTGCCATTCTTATTTTTATTTCCTGCCTATGAATTGTACAGTATTCCCCTTAAAGTCTAAGCATCTAAAATACATGGTAAACAAAAATCTCACTAGACATGCTTGCATTTATGTGTTTGCCTTTGAAATTTTTTTTTAAAGAAAATACATTTGTTCAGAAGCATCTGTTTTCAAGCAAGCTATAAGAAAAGCCCATGAAAGGCACTGAGGTCTTAGTTCAGTTGGTAGATTCCTTGCCTAGCACGCACAAGGTCTTGGGTTCAGCCCCCAGCACCACATTAAATCAAGCATAGTGTGCATACCTGTAATCACAGCATTGAGAGGTAGAGGCATGGAAATCAGAAAACAAAAGCCATCCTTAGCTACATAGTGAGTTAGAGGTCAACCGGGGCTATGTAAGACCCTGTCTCAAAAAACAAATAAGCAAACACATACTGAAATGCCCTGCCTCAGATCTGCTGTTCTGAGCCTTGTGTTTTCTATGCTGCAGTAGCTCGCCAATGGGAGCACAGGTCAGAGGGACTTGTCAGGCTTGGGAACACAGACTATTGGGCCACATCCTCAGAGTTTCTAACTCAGCTCTAGAGTGAGTTCTGAGAATCTGCATTTCTGACAAGCTCCTGGGATTTTGAGGATGCTGGCCTAATGGCACCGTGGATCTCTGTGAGTTCGAGGCCAGCCTGGGCAACAAGAGATAGTTCTAGGGCAGGCTCCAAAGCTACAGAGAAACCCTGTCTCAAAAAAACTAAAAACAAAAAACAAGAAAGAAAGAAAGAAAGAAAGAAAGAAAGAAAGAAAGAAAGCAGACTGAGCAAGTCAGCAAGCAGCACCCTTCCATGGCCTCTGCATCAGCTTCTGCCTCCAGGTTCCTGACCTGTTTGAATTCCTGTCCAGACTTCCTCTAATGATGAACTGTGGTGTCAAAGTCTAAGCCATATACCACCCCACAAGTTGTTTTTTGGTCATGATGTTTCATCACAGCAATAGTAACCCTGACTAAGACACCAAGGCCATACAGATTCATGTGGAGAGAGCTGAGCTGGACATTCCATCCAGAATAATGAAATTACTTGGGAATGAAGGTCAAAATGATGTATCATCAAACTGAAGCAGTTTGGCATGTTTCTGTGGCTCTACCCAGGAACCTCTGACTACAGCTGTGTTGGGCAGGAGCTTCCTGTTACTCAAAATTGACTTTAATTTTAACATCAAAACCTGAAAAATCAACAAAAGAAACAAACCAGGACTTTTGAAAACACCTTCTTTCCGAAAGCTCCCACAGCTAACAGAGGCCTGATATCAGAACAACTCATGAGACTAGACTGAGGGGGTATTCTGGCTTGACTAAAGAACTCAGTTCAATAGGTGTTTAGTTTTTGTCTAAGGGACTCAGTGACTTTCATCAGAGGCAATAGCTTGCAAATTGCTTCTGAAAAGGGTAACTAGTAAGAACTGATATTTACATACAGATTATAAAGTTTAAAATATCTAACCTCAATGTAGCTTTCTGCCAATTTTTAAGCTTATTTTAATCGTTTTTGGAATAAATTTTAGAAATCTTTCTCAGGATATTTTTCTAAATCTTTCTGTCCATCTGAACGTATCCTTTGACATAACTAGACTCACAACAAACACCAAAGGTGGCAGCCACCGGCCTCAGCAGCCGGGAAGTTTCCTTTATCAATTTATCCTTTATCAATTTATCAAAATAACCTCACTCTAAAAAGCTACATATATGCACATTTTACTAAAATAAAAGGGTAGTGAGAACTATTATAATCCCATAATTTTAATTGCAATTGAATGTCCCATTTTTTAACATTAAATTGTAGCAAAATTAAAAACTATCAATTCCATTATAGGAAAACTGGCTCAAATAATAAAACAAAATATATGGAAAGCCATAAGCCGAGATGTTTTGAGGCTAGGGAACTGAGGGCAATTAAATGCCTGGCCATTAAAAAGGTTTTCAAGCAACTGAAGTCCCAATTAAAGCTGAGCTGAGCTGAGCTAATGGAATCTGACATAGGCTGCACCAAGGAACTAAGGCTTCCACCAATATTTTGAGGAGCAGTTGCAGTTAAAACTACAAAGCTGCCCAATATGGAAACTTGGAGAGGCTTGAAAATCAAAGAAAATAAAAGCATGCACATGGAAAGAAATTAATACCACCATTCGGTGGGTTGAACATGTATAGGAGAGGGAAGCACTTTCCACAGCTGCCCATCTAGACAGGATGGCTTGCTAGATCCTTGTAAGAAGCATCACTGCAGTAAGGACACACTTACTTACTTACTTACAGGGCAGCTTCCTGTTCCACAGACAGAGCTGAGCAATACTGCCAACATCCCCTAAAAGAAACTCTACCACATAGATCAAAGGTGTTATTCAGCTGGACATACCACTCACGGTAAATGCCTGTACATTTGTCACAATAAGGAGATGATGGCTCAGTGGTTAAGGGGTCTTGCTCCTTGGGACTGAAGTGAAGGCTCAGTGATTGAGAGAGAGCACTGGCTGCTCAGGCAGAAGACTCAGGCTCCATTCCCAGTACCCACATGGCGAGTCACAACTGTCTGTGACTTCAGTTTGTATACATTAAGGCAAAATGCTCATATACATAAAATAAAATGAACACACCTTTAAAAAATCATGTTTTGAGAGTTCTTGCTGTACAACTACAGGATCTGAGTTCAGATCCCAGAACCCACATTGCAAGTGGATGGTAGGTCTTTCTCATAATTGTAACCCCAGTGCTGTAAGGAGTAGAATTGGGAGAATTGCTGGGGCTTGCTGCCTGCCAGTGCACCCCAAATCCATCAGCTCTGGGTTCAGCGAGAGATCCTGCCTCAAAAGAATAAGGTAGAGAGTGATAGAGGAAGATATTTGATTCAATCTGTGGCCTCATTCATGCATAAACACACATGCCTGTACACACATATGAATGTATACCCCCAACACACACTCAGACACACACACACACACAGACACAGACACACACACAGACATACACACACACACACAGACACACACAGACACACACACAGACACACACACACACACACACAAACGAGGTGGGGAGGAGAGGTGCTGGGGATCCAGAGAATAAGGTGTTTGTCTTCTGTGTTCCCAGTAAAGTAATCTGAAGGGAATACCTCTTTCTGAGGGAGGCTCAGAGCAGCAAATTGAAGATCCATTATTGTTATTATTATTATTATCGTTGTTGTTTTAGATTGTAATTTAAATACAACATTTGTCCCTTCCCTTTCCTCCCTCCACACTCTCTTATGCTTGTCATAGCTTTCCTCCAAGGTTATGACGGATATTACATGCATATGTATGTCTGTATGTATATATATAACTTCCTGAATGATAACACGTGGGAGCTCCACTGCTCCGCAGATCTCCTATTTACCCTTCAGTAAAAATCAAAGGGAAGAAGAGACGCTCCTTACCTTGTCTTTTAGCTTTTCCATCCAGCTTCTCACTAGGAAAAACAAGAGAATTGGATATAAATAGCCATCTCCTACTTACATTTCACAATATTGCACTAACTTGTTAACTTGATACACTGAACTTTTTTTTTTTGCACAGAATATACTAAAAATATCAACAATATTAACAAAATGACAACAATGACTTTTTTGAGACTGTGTCTTTCTACACAGTTCTGGCTGTTCTGGAACTTTCTACGTACACCAGGCTGGCCTTGAACTCAGAGATTTGCCAGCCTCTGCTGTGGAATGCTGAGACTAGAGGTGTGTGCCAGCAGGCCACTTGGAAATACAACAGAGAGCAAAAGCACTCCCTGCCATTACTAGATGAGGAGAGAATATTTCTGTGCCAACAGAGTTCTAGCTACTATTCTGTGCATTAGGAGAAGGTCCAGGAAAGGACAGGGAATGACTTCCAAGGTGCTGTGTTCATTTTCTTCCTGCAATAGTTTTCCTTTAACCTGGTGCCTTATTTGTCTCCCTTCTTAGGATCAAGGAGGATGCTTCATTTGAAGCACCCTGGGGAGCAGAGAGTAGGGAGCGAGGGGGCGGTGGAGCACCAAGGCAGCCCAGCTCTGGCTCCAAAGAGAAGCATTGCGACTGTATCTGGAGAAAAAAGAGTGGGGCCAAGAAGTCATTACTCTACAATAACCACTATTAATAACAGAAGAAACATGAGTGATGGGCGTGGTGAAGCCCAGCTGAGTAATTGTCTGAAGATCCAGATAACAAGCATTTGGAGTTTCAACAGAGACACGGGCACCATTCAACATGTGAAGGGGGGCTGGAAACTGGAGATGGGCACTTCGCTCTTCCCTGACGTTCAGTGTTACATTGGCGCTTCAGTGAGCTTGTCATTTCCACACAGAAGACTGCGTGGCGGAGACGGTGCATCTTCATTTTATCTTTACTATCAAGCAAAAGAATTCAGCAAACAAATTAAAGGTGAAAAATGAGGTTTCTTTACACTCCCCTTTCTTTCTGGGAGTTTTCAACTAGCAGAAAAGGAGGACACTGAGCTTTTCCCTGAAGAGTTGGAGAGTAAATGTATGAACTCAATATGGCTGCCGTCACTCATAGCTACCCGTTCTGCTGCTGGAGTACAAAAGCAGCCCTGGACGATCTATAAGCAAATGTGCTCAGCTACGTTCTAATGGACTCTCTTTATAGACACTGATATTTGAATTTTATGTAACAGTTATATGTCATAGTCATTTTCTTTTAAAGACAAATTAAAATATAAAAAATTGTTTGCTCACAAGTTATATAAAAACAGGAGGCCAGTCAGAGTTAGCCATGAGCCATAATTTGGGACCCCTGGAATAAGAATACTCTACTCAAGAAGTCAGCACCTCCATTTGCAATCTGACACCCACAATAATGTATTTGATCATGCCGACATGGCTATGACTATTTCTTACAACGCACATGCATTCTAACATGTGATCCATGAGTCGACAAGCATGAGAGTCGGATAAACCTGTGCTCACAAGCCAGCTGTGGTGGCTCCTGTGCACAAGCTCAGCAATCAGGAGGCTGAGTCATGAGGACTGTTCAAATTTAGGGTAAGCCTCAACTACAGTATGAGACTGTGTCTCATAAAGTGAGATGTGTGTGCTCATAGAAAACATGGCGGAACTGGGATTCAGAGAAACTAAGAGATGCCTGCAGTCAACCGGAGAATGCTCACGGGAATGCCAGCCTGAGTTCTCGGAGTGAGACTTCTCTGTCACCCATCCCAAATGCGGAGATACCCTTGGCTTTCCCATCTCCTTTAATTGGCATCAACTTCTCAGGGTTGTTCTTTCCTCGTTGCTCTGTGCCACCTGGTGCAGACAGATGTGGTGACTATCAAGATAGGACCACGTTTATAGGAAAGTCAGAAGAAACACATCTAGGAACTTCAGAACCAGGCCAGGACTTGGTGCTTGCAGGAGTGAGTCCACCCAGAAGGGATGTCAGTTGCTGACTCTAGAGGAACTAAGGAGCCTGAAGACCCTCAACCCCCGCTACACAAAGAAGACAATGGATGCTCCAGGAGACCACTGTGAAGATTAGAAATGTCATATGTAAAAATACAGCATAGAATCAGATATAGAATTCAAACAGGGAGAAGAAAGACAATGAAATCTGGGGCTTGTGTCACTGTATCTCAAATATAAAGCAGATTTCAATGTAAGCAAGAGAATATTCGAAATGCATTCACTAATTCCAAAAATATTTGCTGTGTGTATGATGTTTGGCCAAGCATTGAGCCCTATTGTGTCTATAATAAGTTAACAGATGCTATGAGACCTAGTTCCAGTGAGAAAGGGGGTCAGTTCTCAAGTCTCTAAGAGGTGGATGACAGGAAGCCATGTGGGCTTTGAGAAAACGAGGAACGGAGTCCAGAAGCAGGAAGTTGTCTGGGTATTATACAGAGAAGATGACAGCGCAGCTGGCACAGGGTGACTACTCTCAGAGCAGAAGGACAGGAGGCAAAGATCAAGGCTGGATTTAAGGCACCCGTAGGCTTTTCCACTCTAAGAGACTCATGGCCAAGAGGAGCAGTTTCAACTTGTTCCTCTCCTGGAAAGCAGCTACCCATGTGTGAAGACTGTAGAGTAAATTGTATGGAGTCTGTGATGGCCAAGTTTCAGGATTTGTTTGATTGGTAATTTTCAGTGGTGTGTGTGTGTGTGTGTGTGTGTGCGTGTATGTGTGTGTGTATGTGTGTGTGTATGTGTGTGTATGTGTGTGTATGTGTGTGTGTGTGTGTGTGTGTGTGTGTGTGTGTGTGCTTTATGTATACTCCTGCCACAGCGCATGTCTGAAAGTCAGAGGACAACTACTACCTGGGGGATTTGTTTCCTCCAATCATGTGGGTCCTAGGGATCAAAATCAGCTTTTTGGTGGCAAGTGCCTTTACTCACTGAGCTCATCCATGGTGGTTAGTTTTAGTTGTCCATTTGACACAATGAAGACTTGCCTGGTGAGAGAGTCTCAGTCAGGTTGTGTCTAGATCAGACTGACCTGGGGGCACATTTGCAGGGGTGTGTCTAGATCAGACTGACCTGGGGGCACGTTTGCAGGGGTGTGTCTAGATCAGACTGACCTGGGGGCACGTGTGCAGGGGTGCGCCTAGATCAGGCTGACCTGTGGGCACGTGTGCAGGGGTGCATCTAGATAAGGCTGACCTGGGGACATATATGCAGGGATGTGTCTAGACCAGGCTGACCTGTGGGCACGTGTGCAGGAGATTACCATTATTGCCTTAATTGAGGTTAGAAGATTATAAGTCTAAAATAGATAATAAGTCTAAAATGTTTTAGACAAAGGTCTAAAAATAGTTTAAAAACTTGTCCCACACAGTGTCTACAGAGTGGAATAAAATTTCAGAATATTTTTTAAAGATTTTATATGTATGGGTGTTTTGCCTGAATGTATGTCTGTATGCAACATGTGTTCCTGGTGTCCATGGCGTCCAGAAGAGGGTTCCTGATCCCCTGGAGCTGCAATTTCAGATGATCGTGAGCTACCATATAGTTGCCAAGACTCGAACCCAGATCTGGAAGTGCAGCCAGTGCTCTTAACCACTGAGATGTCGCTCCAATCCCTCAAGGTGAAGTTATTTAAAGCAAAAGAATTATCAAAGTCTGTAGCTTCAAGTCCTGTATCCCCGTCAAAGTCTGTAGCTTTAAGTCCTGTATCCCCGTCAAAGTCTGTAGCTTCAAGTCCTGTATCCCCGTCAAAGTCTGTAGCTTCAAGTCCTGTATCCCCGTGAGCCTTCCACAGGGGATGTTCTCCCCACAGCCCCAGAGGAAAAATACTGCGTGTAACTAAAGTAAGGAACATCAAAAAAGTAACCAAATTAAATAACATGAGGCAGAATTAAGGACAGTATCTCTTCCATTCTCTGTCTTTCTTGAGACTTGCCACATTATATATAGTTTGGAACTACTTCTTAATTAGGAGGAAAACACATTTTAACCCCCACAAAACTCTGCAAACCTTTACAACTCGAAGTTGGTAGTAAATTCCTGACTGTGAGGGGCCAGAGAAGTTGAGGTCTTTCCACTTGGCAAGTTCCCTAGATGACAGGTACAGACACTAGTCCCACTGAAGCTAGTTTGTGTTTCAAAATTTAATTTAACGGAATTTGAAAAGCACAGCACTCAAAGAAGACTACTGTTCTCCGTCAAGTAGGGATGGATAGAAGTATCCAGACCAAAAGTAGGCTTGAATAAAGGCCACATAAAAAGTCTTCAGCTGATATACTCCCTGGTAAGAAGCCGAAGGTTTTTTGTCATAAGATCAGGGACAAAAAAAAAAAAAAAAAAAATCAGGCACACAAGAATGCCTAATGTTGCCACTTCTGCTCGATACAGTAGCTGAAGTTCTAGCTGGTGGATTTAGATAATAGGGAGAAAAGGCTGTCTACTTGGAAATAAGTTAAATGGGAAAATATAAATTAAAATCCACAATCTTTTAAAGACACAATCTAAAACTGTGCCGTGCACATTCACACAGAGAGGTGCAAATGCACAGGTGCACACCCACAAATGCACACAGGCACACATATGCATACACACACTTATGAGGGCATACTAACACATGCATAAACACACATGCATGCATACAACATAAACACATACATACACATATAAAATCTGGAAGTATAGTGATATTTCATTAGCATTTCAATAAATAAAACTTGCCTGAAGACCAGAGTAAAACAGCCCCACTGGTCAGTCTTACAGACCAGGCAGTGATGACAAACACATTTAATCCCAGCAGCCACACTAGTTTGCCATAGAAACCGGGTGGTGGTGGTGCATGCCTTTAATCCCAGCTTTAGAGAGAATTATAAGACGGGAGGACACAGCTCTCAGGCTCAGTCTCATTCTGAGGTTTCCTGGAAGCAGGATCACTATTATGGGCTGAGGTAGAGGTAAGAGCCAGTGACTGGCTGTTTTGCTTTAATGACCTTCAGGTTGAACCCCAAATTTTGTCT